CTCCCACCTCCAGGGACCCCGGGATGCCCAACCTCTGGTTTTCCGACTGCGGAACGCTGCCTTCGGATGGGCTCCGGGTCCTGTCCACGAACGTGGTGTCCATAACGCCTCTGCCTCCTGCCTCGCCGCCTCAGGGGACACCCCGCTTGCGGGTGACAGATTGTCACCCTAACCGCGGTCCCGGGTGTGGAGGGCAGGGGGCGACACGCTGGGGGCACGACGATTCCCGCCTGGTCATGGGGTGGGCAGGGAAGGCTTGGACGGGAGGCGGGAGCCTGTTGGAAGAGGGAGCAAGTGACAAAGGCCGTCGGGGCTGGCGTTGAAGGACAGGACAGGGAAAGCATGGAAAGAAATGAGGTAAGACGGATGTGAGTGGGGTTTTCTAGCACCTTCCATGCCCGTCTCCCACCCAGCGTGCTGCCCGGCTCATGCCTGCAGGAGCTGGGGTATATCCGCCCCAGGCTGCTCCCCTACCCACCGCGCACGGGCACCGCTCTCTGGCACCGGCGGCAGCTTCCTTTTATCAGCCGTGTCATAAGCAGTCTCCAGGCTGGACATGCAGAATGTTCCTGTGTGCAGCCAGCCCTTGTGACCTCACTGGGTTCCGAGGACCGCAGCCACACACAGCTTGCCGCCCCTTTGCAGGGGCTGGTCTCGGGGGGCAGGGAGGGGTGACGACCTCCACCACCGCCACATGCCAGCAGCCTCCAAGATGTGAGTCCCCAGCGAGGAAGTGGCGGGACTCCAGAGCTAATACTCTAGTGACGGAGTGTACAGAGAAACCTGAAGAAGAGCAGAGAAAGGGAGCCTCCCCCCAACGCAGTTCTGAGCAACAGGGACTTTGAAGTCCGTGAATTCCTTTGCGCACAGCCTGCACCCCCCACCCCCATGCGCTTGCACAGCTTCCCTTTCCTGGGACGCTGTATCCGATCCTTCGTGACCTCTGCGGTGGGTATATAGAATAAAGCACTTCCCATGTGTGTTTACCGCTACAGTTTTCAAATATTGTTGGGTATTGAGACTTAATAGATCATCTAAAAGCCTTTCTGGTTCTTAAAAAACAGTAGAATGGTCCTCTGGGCATGATGGCCCATGCTTTTTATCCCAGCACTTGGGAGGCTGAGGCAGGAGGATTGCCCCAAGCTTGAGGCCACTCTGGACTACATAGTGAATTCAAAGCCAGTCTGGACCATAGTAAGACCTTTTTTTTTTTTGAAACAGGGTCTCACTGTGTAGTTGGCCGGCCTGGAGTCAGTAAAACCAAAAGCAAGACGGGCCCCTCCCTTTCCTCTGACTTCCTGTCCGACCCTGTGGTCATGTAATCTTCCCCCTTGTATTTCTCTCTTTCTGGATGCTGTCATTGTGATGCCATCCAACACGAGATCCTCGTGAGAGCCATGCCCTTGAATTTTTTTTTTTTTTGGTACCAGGAACTGAACTCAGGACCTTCCCGCATATGAGGCAGGCACTTGCGCCGCTGATCTACATCCCCAGCCCTGCTCTTGAACCTCTAAAACTCTGAGCTAAATAATTTAACCTCTCTTGCAGGCATGGTGGCGCATGCCTGTAATCCTGGCACCCCGAAGGTAGGGAGGAAGGAGGAACTTCATGAGTTCAAGGCCAGCCAGAATTACATAATGAGAACTTGTCACCAAAAAACAAACAAAAACCAAGAATATAACCTCTTATTTGAAAGTCCCCATCCTCAGGTATTTTGTTACAGCGATGGAAGACAGATTAGTGCACCTAGTTGTGATTTTGTTTTGCCCAGATTTGAGCTATCATGTACAGACCATAAGGCCAGTTGTAAAGGAACGGTACAAGAATTCTCAATGAATGCATGCCGCTGTGTGCCCATCACCACTGTCTGCTGGTGGAATGGACCCCTTTCCTTGAAAGTTCCTTTGAATGTGTATGAGGTCAAACCTACGCTGAGTTCCAGCCAATCCCCCATCTGCCTTCTCTCTACCAGAAATTTCTGGTAGGTAAATGGACTCAGAATATTGTTAGATGTTGTGGCACACAGCTGCAATCCCAGCACTCAGGAGGCTGAAGCAGGAGAATCGCCATGAGTTTGAGGCCAGCCTGGATTATATAGTAAGATCCTAGGTAGTCTCAAAATAAATAAATAAAACCAACAACAAAAAACAACTTTTGTGTGTGTGTCAGATTTCATCAACTGACCAGAAGTTTACCTGCATGTGTCCATAGTTCATTTCTTTTTATTGTGGAGGAGCATGCCACTGTGTGGATGTACTACATTTTGTGATATGTTCTTCCTTTTTTATAGACAGCCAAGATAGAAATATTACAGGCAGTCAGATGGGGCGAGTCGCTGGACTGCAGCAGATGAGAACACACCAGGACTGAAGAAGATTAAAGTCACAGTGGCCACATTTACGAACTTCCCGAAGGGATGAAGGGACGCTTGAGATTATTGGTACAGCCTTTTGAGGTCTCCCATAGAAAGAAACTTGATAGGGGTGAGCTGCTTCTCCCACCAAGATTTAAGGCTAAAGACAGACTATAGATTATTGACCAAGGTTACTGATGTCACCCATAGGCTCTTGCTCAGTATAAGCTAAGAGGCCATATTGTAATCTTACTGGTTAATTATAGTTTTGATCCACACTGTACCCACCTTGTGATTTTGCTCTATAAAGTTTTCTCAGAAGAGCAGGCTCATTGGCAGCCCATTCAGGACCCCTCTGTCTCAGCTATTCCTATTCCCCAGTAAATGTGCTACTCTTAACCTCCATTGTTCTTAGAAGTCATTCTTCGACTTTGGGGAACATGAACTCTATCTGCTGACATCTAGCAGGTTGGGAGTTACGTATTTTCGCCTAGATCACTGTGATGTGCATCTGGATTTTCTCCCACCATTTGGTAATTGTGACTAATGCTGATAGAACAGATACTCATGTACCAGGGTTTGGTTGTTGCTGACAGGTGTATTCATTTCTGTTGGGTTTCTGTGTAGGAGCCGAGTTGCTGGGTGACGGCGCCCCCGTGTTGAACATGTTACATCCCCCGTTTTCCGCAGTGGCCGTGCCATTTCCCATCCCCACCGGTGACGTATGTGGTATGATCGGGCCAAGACCCACACAGAAACGACCAGACCTTCTGACACGAGAGGAGTCTTTATTGGGGGAAGCGACGTGGCGGGCTGCCCAGCAGACTAGGACAGCCCTGATCTGAGCAAAGCATGGGGTTTTTAAGCCGTCTTTTGGGGAGGGTGTCTCTAAGCCAGAACATTTTCTGGGAGCGGGTGTCCGTGGGTCAGAACAACCCGAGCAGGGTGGGTTGTTTGTAAGAGTTGAACGTCTGGTTCTGCCAAGGCGGATGAGGGCGAGATTGGCTTTTGTTGAGGGGACCTAGAGGGGAACAGGTGAAGAGGAAGTTTTTATTAACTCCTTAATAAAAGAGCTTAAATCTCGGGGGGGGGGGGGGTTGCCTTGTGACTTAAAAGTATGAACGCGCTCACCACGTGCTCACCTTGCTGTTATCAAAAGCATTAGCACTCTGGAGGGTGTGAAGGGGTGCCTTGGCTTTGATTTGCATCCCCTTGACGGCTGACGGTGCTGAGCACCCTTTCTCGCGTACTCAGTAGCTATTTGTGTATCTCCGTGGAGACATGCATTCAAATATTTTGTTCATCAAAATTAATTTTTTTTGAGATAGGGTCTTCCCAGATAGTTCAAGCTGTCCTTGAACTCACTATATAGCACAGGCTAACCTCAAACTCACAGAGATCCTCCTGCCTCAGCCTCCCAAGTCTTGGTATTATAGGCATGTACCACCATGCCTGGCATTTTTTCCATTTTTAAATTGGGTTATTTGACATGAGTGTGTGTGTGTATGTGTGTGTGTGTGTGTGCGTGTGCGTGAGACTGGGGATACAGGCCAGGGCCTTTGCACTGAGCTACATCTCAGTCCTTTTTCTTTTCTAAGACAGTCTCAGTTGTTAAATTGCCCAGGCTGGATGTGGTTGCACTCAGTCCTGGGGGCACCAACCTGATCTTCCAAGGCCTCTGGCTCCTCCTCGGCCCAGGAAGGTGTCTGATACCCTGCTTCTCCTCTCGTGCTGTGCTGGGGACTGGGGGCCTAGTCAGCTTCACAGGGGGAGGGGATCATGTCCTGGGGACTCCAAGCCCCTTCCTATATTTCTGTTTATGGTTGTGATTTAGTATTCACTGTCTTTACCCAACACTAGGTGTTTTATAAAAGAGAAACTGAGTTTGTCCTGGCTGGGCTCATTCCTGTCCCCACGCCCAGGCTGTTCCATTAGGGCCTCCCCCCACCCCCGCCAATGAAATGGACCGTATGGGGTCTCGGGGCCCTGTTTAGGGCTACCAGGAGACTGGTGGGAGCAGAACTCCCTGCCACCCCCACTAGGGGGGTTCTTGTGCAAATGGGCCCTCTGCCCACCTTTGGGTGGACGGAATCTGGAGGGGATGCCTGAAGGCGCCCCGGCCCTCTCTGCCCTTTGTCTGCGTGCCCACCGTCCCCAACCAGGAGCCCCATAGGGGTTGGCAAGGGGCAGAGCCATCGGGTGTGTTGCACCCTGGGATGCTGTGGTGGTTGAACCTGGCGTCTGGCAGATGCCAGTCAAATGCTCAGGTGACGTCTGGCCATGGGCCACAGGCCAGGTCACATCCTCCTGGCTTTCCGTACATTCACCACTTTTTAAACAAATCTGTACAGACTTTTCTACAATACCTATCTGTGACTTTCTGGAACTGTGGGGTTCCCCTACCCCCTTTATCTGGTGTTAAACTTTTCTTCTTGTACCAGTGGATCTGGCCCCAAGACACTACCCACACTGGAAGGGGATTTCCATAATAAATATGTAAACTAAAAAAAAAAAAAAAAAAATGCCCAGGCTAAGCTTGAGCTTGTGATCCTCCTGCCTCAGCCTCCCAGAGTACTTGGATTACAGGCGTGTGTCGCCACAACCAGCCAGCTTTTTTTTTAAGATAATTATAACGGTGCTGTTATACTCACGATTTTCAAGTATAATTTGTAAACTACTCCTCTTACTCTTTTCCTGCCTTAAAGCACAGCTAGTTCTTGGTTCATGCTAATTTTTAGAAGTGTGTACACTGCAAACTCTAAAAACCAAAACAAGTGGATCTTGGGGACATATTTGGACACAGCTATCAGACTGAACTAAAAGCACCAGCTCCTTGCAAAGATCACACATTCTATTGCGTGTAGCACTTCTTACTGTGTTCTTGCCATCAGAGAAAAACTTGGCGTCTTTACAGTTATCTTCCTTTTTTGGTTACATTTATCTCTTTTTTTCTTCTTATATTGTCTTTTTGAGACAGGATTTCACGGTGTACTTCAGGATGGCCTTGCACTCACTTTGTAGCCCAAGCTGGCCTCGAACTCACAGGGACCCATGGGGAGCCCTTCGTGGTCCTAGTTGTGGCCCAGGAAGTTTATATCTGTAACCCCATGGAAAAGTTACTGGAATTCTAGTGAGTTAATTCCAATCTACCACTTCCAGTGCAACCCACAGCGTAAATAAAGACACAGTAATATATCCCAAATGGTGGGGAATCAAGGGGGTCCTGAGTCCAGCTCCAGTGATGGTAACTGGAACCAAGGCCTCCACCCAGGGCCGAACCCGGGTTTTATTCATTCGTGAAGAAGGGAGTGGCCTGAGGCTGAGTGACTGTGAGAAGGGCGGGTGAGCGCCGCGAGCTGGGCTAGGTAGGAGGCCCGAATCCCCTCTGCAGTATGCAGAGCGGAGGATGTGCAGAGGAGTAACCTGCGTGACACGACTGAGGCGGGATCTAACGTTTTGGGGCCGCTGACTCAGCTCTGATGTGTGATCTTTCAAGCCCAGGGAGGTCACAGCCTCTATCTCGCGGCTCGATCCCAGCCGGCAGTGCGGAGCACGGCTCCCACCCCACCTCGTCCCAGAGCACACAAGGGAACCCAGGGCATCCGGGGAAAGACGCCTGTGTCAGAAACCACCATCGGCACCTCGGCTGGACCAATGGGCATGGCTTAAAGCCAGTTGAAGGGATAAGGAAAAGTCCCGGCCAGCTCTGTACAGATCAGTACATGGAAACAGGGCCAGGCTCAGCTGAAATGGAGACAACTGCTCCTCCAAGGAGAACCGCCCAGGTGGTGCTCCCCGGCGACCTCCTGCCTCAGCCTCCCAAGTGCTGAGGTTACTGGTGTGTTCCACCACACCCCCGCCCCATACAGGATTCTTGAACACCCTCTTGTCTTGGGAGGTACTGAGAGGCAGAGCCTGGTGCGGGGATGTTAGGGCGTTGGGGGTGTGACCTGGAAGGGGTCTGAATCCGGCTCCTGCACTTCCCCTCCCCTCCCTCTGCTTCCCATCTGCCCAAGGTAAGAGGCTTTGCCTTGCTGCAGGATGTGCTGTCCTCCCGCAGGCCAAAAACCAACGGCTAACGGGCCATGGGCGGAAACCTCCAAGACTATAAGCCACACGGAGCCCTTTTTCTCTTTAAATCTATTTCTCCCGGGTATTTGTTGTAGAACAAAAGTTGACTTAATACACCGTGTCAGGTCTGCTCTGCCTGTATAATAAGCTCGTAGGCAAGAGAGGAATAAACATCTGTTTTAAGTGCAAGGCCTTTATTACAGTAGTAAAACTGATCCCTAAATATGGATTAGTCAAGAGACACTCCTATTAAACAATTCTGATGATGTGACAATGCCGAGTGCTGCAGGAGTCGGTCACTGCAATCCTTGTATATCATCTCAGTGAGCCGTCATCGTCCCCTGTGAGATTTCCAGATTAAAAACCTCACAGCCTCAAAAGTTTGAGCTCACACACAGGTGGCCAGAGTTTGAACCCATAACTGATTTCAAAGCCCTCGCCTTTCCCATGAATCCACACAGGACAGCGTTTGTGTCTGGCTAAAAGTGAATGGAAGAAGAAAATGTGTTTACACACCATGGAGTACTAATCTGCCAGAAAAAAGGATAAACGAGTCACTTGTAGGAAAATAGGTGCGCCTTGAGACCAATGTTACGTGACATAAATCAGGCACACGATCTTAAATATCCCATGGTTTCTTTGATGAGAAACTCAAATTCTAAATAAAGAGCAAAATAAAGCTTAGATAATAGGAGACAGGGAGCTCTTTCTCAAATGGGATGGGGATCAAGAGATGGAGGGAGGGGAGGAAAGAGGGATGAGAAGAGGAATCAGAATGTGTTACGTACATGGACCAACTCCACGCAAGAAATGTAAACATGTACAACACAGGAACTCTGGGTGTGGCGGTGCACACCTGTAATCTCAGCACTGGGGAGGCTGAGGCAGGAGGATTGCTGTGAGCTCAAGACCACCCTGAATATGTAGCAAGACTTTCAAAAAAAAAAAAAAAAAACAAAAAAAAAAAAAAAAAAGGAAAAAGAAGCATTGCGCACACGTATACTAATTTTTTAAAAAATAAAAAGACAGGAGACGCTGAAGTGCCTTATTGTTAGAACTTATTAGAAGGGTTCCCAGGTTGCTTCCAGGCAGGCATGAAAGTTTTGGGATCCAGTTCTTCAGTCTTGTTTCTAATGTCTCAAGTCCTCTGGGGAGAAAAAAAAAATCCAGCTGCAGTCCACAGCTATCTACAATAGGCAGCCCTCTGCAGGCTAGCCAGCAGGCTTTCCCTGTGGGAGTCATGGCTCAAAGGTTCACGGGGATAGAAAGGTCATGGGGATCTTACTGCTTTTGAAAGCGCAGCTGCTGTCCGACAGGTGAGGAACGCAGAATCCGACCAACGGGAATCAGGTCCGGCTTCTCACTAACAGGAGGGGCGCCCCTCCCCAGCGTGGTGAAACCCATGTTTCCGAGGGGCTTCCCTGCTGGCGGCTGGAGAGAGGCAGACGCAAGTTACCCCCGGGAACCCTGCAGTGACAGGCATCCACCCCCCAATAGGCAATCGTCACCACGCAGAGAAAACTGAGGGAGCTGATCTTGTACAAGCTGTCGCCCCAAGCTCCCTCCGCAGTGAATGCCAGGTTGGTACCGCCCAAGAGAAATTCCGTGAGCCACCTACAGTGCAAGTTATCACGTTCTCAGAGCCACGACGTCTCACAAGAGGCCGATACAATTAATTGTGACGCATTTTATGCAATACATTGTTCCCAAGATACTACAATGTCAAGATATTAAACTATTTTTAAAGATTTTAAAATGTCGAGATATTCTATATATTTCTCATCCTGAGCCTTTGAAATCGAGTGTATTTTGCATTCGTAGCACTTTTTTTTTTTTTTTAACTTTTTTTCGGTGGTCTGGGAATCAAACGCGGGGCCCCGCCCGTGCCACTCACCACCAAGCTATTCCCCCCGCCCCGCAGCGCATCTCCGCTGGGCCGGGCCGCACCGTGCGGCGGTGTACGAAGTCGCCCTCCCTCCCGTCCCCACCTCACGCCGCAGTCCCGCAGCTGCAAAGTGAAAGGGGAAATACTGCGGAGGATCAGAAATGAGGGATGTGATGGGTTGAACTGCTGGGCCCACCCACAAGACCCTGACAGATGGAAGTGCGGATGAATTCAAAACCCTGAGCAAGGAAAAAACAGGTAACAGTGGTTTTACGGCTCAGCTGTCCCCTCAAAATTCCCGTGCTAAGTCCTAACCCTCAGGACTTCAGATAATGATCTTGTTTGGAGATAGGGGAGTTCCGGAAGTAAAATGAGGTGGTTCGGGTGGGTGCTAGGCCAGCGTGACCAGTGTTCTTATAAAAAGGGGAACTGGGCCAGGCGCGGCAGCGCACGCCTGTAATCCCAGCACTCAGGAGGCTGAGGCAGGAGGATCCTTGTGAGTTCGAGGCCAGCCTGGGCTACAAAGTGAGCTCAAGGCCAGCCCGAACTGCATAGTGAGACCCTGTCTCAAAAGGACAAAAATAAATAAATCAAAAGGGGGACTGTGGACATGGACACACACGGAGGTGGCGTCAACCCCCATGCCAAGGAGCGTCTGGACCGGGCCATCCTCACAGTCCGTGGAAGGGAACAGCCAGCTGTCACCTTGATCTCTGACTTTATCTCCAGGACCATAAGAATAAACTTGTTTTTTAACCCCTCCATCTCTGGTATTTTATAAATGCAGCCCAAATAAACTCCTGTAAATGGGCTGGCTGGGAGCATCAAAAGAGAACATTTTGTTTTGTTTCGATTTGATTTGATTTGATTTGGGGTCTTTGGTGTCAAGGTGTCACTACGTTATCCAGGCCGCCCTCAAATTTGTGATCCTTCTGCCTCAGCCTTCCAAGTGCCGGGGTGGCTAGCACGGACCACCACACTGCTCACAAGAGAACAGTTTTGCCCATAAAAGGCCTTGGTGGCCCTTCAGAAAACTGCAGGTGAATGCTGCTCTTTGCCCACACCACGCGCATGGTTGGGTCCCCAAACTGCCTGTCTGTGACTCACAGTGTCATGGAGGCACCCTGGGGACATGTCTGGGGGGAAGGAAAGGGGGCGTGAGTAGGAGGAGTGTGACGCACCACACCCCATTCCTTGGGTTCCTGGCAAGTGGAAGGTCCCGTTAAAGTTTCCAAAGGCCTTCTCTAAAATAGTCACAGCAAAACATTTGGGGTCTCACAAAGACACTTTGGTCCTCAGTGGGAAGACGGTACCCCTTCTTCCTTGGTTCAGGGAGATCACTGTCTTTGGCTTACAGAAAAGGCACAAAGCACAGCCCCCAACGCTGGAGACCAACCCGTGTAGGACACTGCATACCCAACCATGGCGTTGCCCTGGTAGATGGAGCATGAGGCCAGGCAGCACCCAGAACCACTGCAACCAAAGGGCTGTGTGTGTGTGGCCTCCGCAGTTCCAGGACCTGCCTGCCTACGCAGGAGCCCTCTTGGACTCGTTCAACACAGCCTAGCAAGGCCAAGCGGCAGAACTCACCGTAAGGAGCAGCTCTGCAGAAGCCATCAGAGGTAGAAACTTTCGATCTGTGATTTGTATTTCTGGGTTATGAGGTATCTTCTCATTTTTGTCGTTGGACCTACCAGGACGGGAGAAATCAGTTGAGCTGTGGAGGAACAAGAAAGTTCCACACTCTCTGTGCATGGCCAGGTGACGGGTCCTGGGCTGGTCCTGCGTGGCCGGCTGTGCATCGCCATCAGTGTGTAGGGGAGAGGGGACGTCCCCAAGTGCACCCAGTGGGAGAGAGACACCACCGCCATCTCCAAGTGGGCCCCCCTTTTAGATGGGGTGGAAAAGCTGGATGTGTGTGATAAGATCAAGACTCACGTGCTGCACAAACCAGGACATCAACAACCTGTGTGGCCAGGGGCTTTGGACACACCCGCACGATGTGGCACAGCTCTGTATGACAACTTTTTTTTTTTTGGCTTTTTGAGGCAGGGTCTCACTATGCAGTGCAGGCTGGCCTTGAGCTCACTTTGTAGCTCAGGCTGGCCTCGAACTTGCAACGATCCTCCTGCCTCAGCCTCCCTAGTGCTGGGATTACAGGTGTGCACCACCACGCCAGCACTGTATAACTACTTTTAACTGAGATGAAAAGACAGAGGCTCAGAGGAACGGGTCACTTCCTTGCACAGAGGGGACAGGATTCAAACCCAGATTATTCAGTGCTCCATGCTTAGTCCCACTCTGGTTCTCTTCTGTCCATACTCACATTATAGCCAAAAGCTGCCTGTGGTGGCACACATCTGTCATCCAAGCACTCGGGAGGCTGAGGCAGGAGAGTTGCTGTGGCTACACAGTGAGCTCAAGGCCAGCCTGCACTACATAGTGAGCCCCTATCCGAAAAAAATCTTTTAAAAAACCCCACAAATTCTAGCCAAGTGCTCAGACAAAGCCTCCAAAAAAGAACTTGAGTAGAATCCAGGTCCCTCAACCCCAGAGTGAGCCCTTCTCTCATGCGATGGGGACACAAAAAGAAACTCATGCACAGGATAATTTCAGATTCTGACCCATTAAGGAGGCAAGGATTTTGGAGGCTGATACCATGGAGTGATGGTAAGCTCCAAGGTGACTTATTGAGGGTCATGGTGAGCGACTATAGCTAGAATGTACAGTCAGATTTGGACAAGGGGAGAGAGCCATCCAGACAGGTTGGAGGGAGAAGAGCACTGCAGGCAGCAGGAAGGGTAGGTGCAAAGGCCCTGCGGTTGGCCTGTGATGGAGTAAGTGAAAGAAGGTGGAAGCACCCCAGTCCCTGGCTGGCCCCACAGACCATCTCACTTCCAGAGAAGGGCACATTTCCCAAGAGCCCACATGGCTCCACACTGGCAAGGATCAGCAGAGCTCTGAAGGTCAGGATCGCCGGCTCTCCAGCCTACCCACCTAGTTCCCCGCCTCGCACAGAGAAGTCCTTCCTCAGGATGGCCCACTTGCGGATCCTCTGAGCACTGGAAGCAGCCTCTTTGTTCACGGCATCTATGCCTTGCTGGATGGCGGCGTAGACAAGCGGGTCTTTCGAGTCCACGATCTCCGACACAGTGGACGCCTGGCTGCCCAGGGCCTGGCAGAAGTCGATGGCCTGCCAGCTCAGCTTGTCCAGGGGCTCCCCGCTCACCTGATCGATCTCGCACTGCCGAGGACACCCCTGTCATCACACACTCCTCGGCCAGCCCCTGACCCCCAGCCAGGCCCTGGACACCCAGAAACCAATCGTGAACCCTGGGGTGGGGGGCGCTGCGGGCCGCTGCGGCAAGGTCACCTTCAGCGTCAGGAGCATGCTCAGGAACGCGGCCCTGTTGCCCACCAGTATGGCATTGCTGACAATGGGGATCGTCGTCTTCACCAGGTCCTCGATGGGAAAGGGGGCCACGTTTTCCCCGGCAGCGGTGATGATGAGTTCTGCGACAGAGTGACCGTGACAACAGACCCCGCCCCTCCCCGCAAGGACAAAAGGACAGATGTCTCAACGGAAGCCCCAGAGGCACAAGGGCTTTTCTTTCACATCCCATCCACCTCAGGGCCACCTGGTGTCCACACCTGCGCATTCAACCTGGACAGCATCCTTTTCTTCCCTTTGGTCCTAGAGATGGAACCCAGGGCCGCTGCACGGAGCTCCATCCCCACCCCTTTCTATTGTTTTAATTTAGAGACACACTCTCAGTCATCAAGTTGTCCAGGCTGGGCTCAGAACTTGCAATCCTCCTGCCTCAGCCTCCAGAGTGCTAGGATGACAGGCGTGCACCAGCGCCCCAGTACCTTTGATTCGGCCGGTGATGTAGAGGAAACCCTGGCTGTCCATGAAGCCCACGTCCCCGCTATGCAGCCAGCCTTCCTTGTCCACCACCTCCATGGTGGCGTCTTCCCTGTCCAGGTAGCCCATGAAGACGTGCCGGCCCCACATGCACACCTCCCCGACGTTGTCCTGGTTCTCCCGCAGCAGCATGTTCTTGCAGGAGCTCAGGGGCTTGCCGCAGCTGCGGGGGGCCAGGCGTGGGAGAACGAGGGTCAGAGCGTCGAGGTCTCTTACCCAGGGCCCGGAAGGCGGCGGCTGAGCGTCTGCCGCGGTAAGGCCGCACACCCAGTCCTGTAGGGCCTGGGGAACCCGGCGCTGCTACGGGCTGTTCTTATCCCACTCGTGTGGGTGGAAGGAAAAGCGCCTAAGGCCAAGGACACAGAACCCCTCGCCTTTGAGAAAACACATCTGCATCTCACTGTCCACAGCACACGGAAGCGCAACAGCAAAGAAAAATCCCATTAGAGGTCCGGGTCACTTCAACAAGACAGACAAGCAAACGCCAGGTAGGCCCTTCCGCGCCCCCGAGGCGGGATCGTGAGCCCCGCCGCGGGCGGAGGCGGGTACCTGAGGGGCCTGTAGTTCGCGCGGCTGGAGACGCTGTGGGGCCCCGAGCTCTCGCTGAGGCCGTAGCTCTCGCCGATGGGGATGTCCAAGCTCAGGAAGAACTCCGAGGTGTCCTGGGAGAGCGGCGCGGCCACGCTCAGGAAGGAGTGGCAGTGGTCGAGGCCCAGGGAACTCCGGACTTTGTTGAACACCAGTTTCTTAGCCACGTGGTAGTTCATGGAACCGGGGGATCCCCTGGGAAGCAGGACACCGAGGCCAGCTCCAGCCGCCGCGCAGAAGGCGGGGGACCCGCCGCGCTCCCGCCTCTCCGGAGCCTCCACCTACCCCTGCGTCTGCAATGTGTGCGCGTTCAAACCAGTTGTTTTGGCCCATAGGAACATCTTCTTGTTGAAGCCTGAGAAATTGCCAACCCTTCCCTTGATGGTCTCCTGCAACTTCTCCCAAATTCGGGGCACCCCGAGGAAGGTGGTGGGCTTTACCTCCTTCAGAGTGCTTATCAAGGTGCCCTGCAGGGAGCCAGACGGTTAGTCACAGCTGTGATATCCCCGCACCCCGAATGCCCACCCAAGGTGGCTAGAGAATCTTCCCTTCCCTGATTGGACGAGGGAGCCCCACCCACCCACCCAAGGGAGCCAACCCATTGGCTGGCTGGCAGCCAATCAGACTTTTGTATTACTTCTAGGGATTTGATGGGGTACAACAACTGATATTTTTGGAAGGTAATGTGGAAACATTATCAACTTTTTAGTTAAAAACTTCTTTGTGTGTGGAAATGGATTGAACCCAGGGCCTCCACACTGAGCTACAGCCCCATCCCTTGTTAAATTTTTTCTTTTGACACAAGGCCTCCCTAATTTGCTTAAGTAGCCCAGGCTGGACTCAGACTTGCAAGCCTCCTGCCTCAGCCTCCCAGAGTGCTAGGATCACAAGTGTACACCACCACACCCAGGTACTATCAATGTTTTAAGGACAAGCTAGCACTTTTAGTTTTGTGGGTGAAAGGATTTAGCTGACTGAAAGACACAGATATACAAAGAAATACAAACAAGATGTTTTGTAACAGAAGGAAGACAGTTTATATGTTAGACAGTTGGAATTTGGCTAAAGAAATGACCTAAGCATACGTAGAATATTATGCAACTGTGAAAAGGGAGGCAAGATTCTCTCCCAGATTGATTTTTAAATTTAGTGCAACCCTGGATATAAAACCCAGATAGACTCTATCATACAATGCGACAAGCTGATCTGAAGATTTTTTTTTGTGCCTGCCCATTAACAGGTGATGGAACCCAGAGCCTTGTGCACGCTAGGCAAGTGCTCTACCACTGAGCTAAGCCCCAGCCCTTTTTATTTTTTATTTGAAGACAGGGGCTGCCTGGCAAGTGCAAGTTCATGAGTTCGATTCCTGGTACTGGGAAAAAAAAAAAAAAAGACAGGGGCTCACTAAGTTGCTCAGGTCAGTCTTGAACTTGTGATCCCTCTGCCTCAGCTTCCTGAATAGCTGTGATGACAGGCATGTGCTACCACACTGGCTTGATACAGAGATGCCAAAGGCTTAGAATAGCCAAAGTGATTTTGGCAAAGAATGAAAAAAAAGAATGAAAAGAGTTACTACCTGACTTTAAAACTTATTATGAAGTAGGGTGATAAATAGGCCTGGTCTAACCAGAACTGCAGGGGTTCCTGAAAAGTTCGATTTTTACTTTTAAAGGTGGTCAAGTCCAGGCACATGGGGACAAGATGAGATAAAACCAGCATAGTCAGTCAGGCGTGGTGGCACACACCTGTAATCCCAGCACCAGGGAAGCTGAGGCAGGAGGATCCCTGTGACTTCAAGGGCAGCCTAGATTACATAGTGAGTTCAAGGCCAGCCTGAACTACATAGTGAGACCCTGTCTCAAAAAACAAAACAGAAAAACCCACCAACAAGCAAACAAACCCCTCCAAAACCCTGACAGCATCTGTGGAATGGTGCCCTGCAGGACGTGGTGGTTAGGCCTCCTGCGGCCTTACCCTGAGGGCATCTGGCTGTGCAAAGTGTATGAGCGACCCAATCTTCAGAGGGATCCAGATGTCTATCATCTGCGTGGCGACGTGGCTGAGCGGCAGGTAGCTGAGCACCCTCTCCTGCTTCCCCGACGTGGCGGGGAGTCTCAGGTCCTTCACCACGGCCCCGGCCGTCCACGTGATCTGGAACACAGGGACAGCCTGGCGACCGTTCTCACCTGCAGGCGGCGCACTCCAGCTGTGCGCACTCAGCGAGCTGCTACCGAGGCCTACATGTGTAGGCAGCACGCTCCAGCTCCGAACCTCTGGGCTTGGCCTGTTGTTTATTTTCACAGTACAAGGACGGGACCAAAGGCCTTCCCACTAAATTCCGTCCCCAGCCCTTTTTTATTTTTGGAGACAGGGCCTCAATAAGTCATTAAATTTCCCAGGCTGTGCTCAGTCTTGTGATCCTCCTGCCTCAGCCTCCCCGAGTGCTGAGATGACAGGTGTGTGCCACCATGCCCAGCTCAAAGACTTATATTTAATGGTACACCTGGCTTGCCTGATTCTTTTACAGCAGTAACCAAATCTCCATCAGCAGTGACCAAATCGCCCTTGTACTCCCCCACCCCCTTTAAAGCCACCCCTCAGCTTTCTAACCCCAATGGCTAAGGACCCACACTCACTGTGTGCTACACCCCTAAACACGGCCCTGCTGCTGGAGATGGTCCTGGTGACCTCTCCAGTACTGGGACAAAGCACAGTTTGAAAGAGGAGAAGTTTATTTTGGTCATGATTTCAGAGAGCTCAGTGCATAGTCAGCTGGCTCCAAGGCAGAGACGCCGTGGCAGAGGGTTCTGGCTGACGGTTAGAGAAATGCAAGAAACCACACTGAGATTCCACCTTACCTCAGGACAAACAACCATCACCAAGAAATCAAATGCTAACAAATGCTGATGAGGATGTGGAGAAAAAGGAACCCATCTACACTGTTGGTAGGAATATACACTAGTACAACCACTAGGAAAATCAGATGGAGAGTCCTCAAAACACTAAAACTAGAAATTCCATTTGACCCAGCTCTTCCCCTCCTGGGTATCTTCCTGAAAGACTTAAAAAACATCATACCACAGTGACCCATCCATACCCATGTCTATAGCAGCACAATTCATAATAGCTAAATCTTGGAAGCTGCCCATATCCCCTTCAAAAGATGAATAGATAAAGAAAATGTTTTTATTTACACATGGTGGAGTACTACTCAGCCATAAAGAAAGATAAATGTGAGTCACTCGTAGAAAACAGATGCACCCTGAGACCCACAATGTTAAGTGAAATAAATCAGACACACGAACTTCAATCTATCACATGGTTTCTTTTAGAGGAGAAACCCAAAATATAAATAAAGAGCAAAATAAAAGATAGATAATAGGAAGTAGGGAGACAGAACTTTCTCGAACAGGAAGGGGATCGAGAGATGGAGTGGGGGGAGCGGAGAGGGAAAGGGGATTTTAAAAGGGAATTAAGATATATACCTGTACCAACTCCACAGAGGAACAGAGGCATTACGCACTGCAAACATGTGCTAATGAAAATAGAAGAGAAGGGCTTGGCGGAGCAAAGCTGCTCACCTCATGGTGAGCAGGAAGCAGCACTCCGGGGAAGAGGTCAAGGACCAGAGTCCCCAGGGGCACACCCCGGGTGACCTTGCTTCGCACACCTCCTAGGCATCTCCCAAGCCAGTCAGGTTCAGGGTCTAAATCCACCATCCCCGGGACAGCAGTGGGATGAGGGGACCTTGCTTACGTTGTCGTGACTCAGCATGACGCCTGTGGGGTCGCCCACAGTCCCCGAAGTGTAGACAAGCACTGCACACTGATTCACCTTCTGGCTCTTGATGATCTGATCCAGCTGCGCGTCAGGAACGCTGTTGCCAAGTTCCATGAAGTCATCCCACTGTGGACAAGAGAAGTGGTTGCCTTCCCCAGTTCAGCCGCACCCTCTGCTTTTTAGTTGCTGATTGGATGGGGCTGACTGCACCCCAGCTCCAGAGGTCCATTCTGATTGGATGAAGCCAGAATATTTTATCAGCGTGGGTCACAGGGACTGGATAGAGTCTGGGCATGTGACTTGAAGTGGTCCAATCACAGAGAAGAGGAAGACGTTAGCTGGCAAATCTAGGACATAAAAGAGGTCAAAGAGCCGCGATGTAGCTCAGAAGATGCTAAACCATCTCAGGGTTATAAGGGAAAGCAGGGCTGGAGTGGATCCCAGCAGCAAATCTGAGCCCAAGGAGTATTTCTTGAGCATCTTGTTCCAAGCCTGATATCCACATGCTGAGCTGTGACTCCCCGGCCCAAACGAATTATCCTCTTTTGCTTTAGATATTCGGAATCAAGCTTTTGTCACTAGCAACGGGTGGGATCCTTGCTGATGACAGGTGTGTCGTCTCCCCACTTGTCCAAGGTCACAGCGAATAAACCAAGGAGGTGCAGACAAACCAAGATGGTGTGACTGCAGTCTGTGCTGCCGTGAATTTGGTGCATCCAAGTGAACACTGCGACCTGAAGAACTTCTACCACCCGGACCCCCACAAGGCCCAGGTAAGGGGACACACTGACTTCAGGATGAAAGATCTGCGGAGTTCTCAGAAGCGGCGGGTGCTGAGCTGGGACCATCTGAGCAGGCAAATCAAGGCCGCCTATGGTAATTTAGGGGGAGGGGTCTTCGCCCCTGCTTGACAGATGTCTACCTGTTCCCCAAAGGAGGGTGGCCGCGAGTTCGAGGCCAGCCTGGGCTCCATAGCAAGATCTTGTCTCAGAAACAAGCAGACAAACCAACACATTGGGCAGAAGACCCGCCGTCCCAGGGCCAGTCCTGTCCTCTCTCTTGGGAACCCGAGACCCGTCCCTTCTGCCGGGTACCGAGATGCCACGCGTTGTGATCGGCCCAGTTCAACGACTTACGCTGCCGTTTTTACCCCCAAATTTCATGGAGCTGACTCTCATCCCCGTCCTAATGAATGTGTGCCCCCAAACGAAATTTTAAAAACTGTCGGGCCTACCCAGCCTTGCAGAGAGGCCGATGCTGTTCGATGTCACAAAACTGTCCCCCAAAACCAGTGTCCTCAACCAGGATTGATTCTGTCTCCCTAGGGACGTGGAGCAATTTCTGGAGACAGCTTTGCCGGTTTCGGGAGAGAGCGCGCTACTGCCACCTAGCGGGTGGAGGACAGGGCGGCCGCTCAGCACCTTGCAAAGCCCAGGATGGCCGCTTTCAACCAAGAATCATGCGTTCTTGTAGGAGGGGTGGACAAACCTGGCTGTGAGGTGTTTTTGTTTGATTGCTATTTGCGGCGCTGCAGATCGAACCTAACGAGGCTGTACCCCTGAGCTCTATCCTTAGGCCTTTTTATTTTTTATTTTGAGACACTAAATTGGTGAACTGCACAGTCTGGGCTTGAACTTGTGATCCTCCTGCCTCAACCTCTCAAATAGCTAGGATGACAGATGTGGCTCTAGGATGACAGATGTGGCTCTGTTAGGGCTTTTTCTAATCAAGAAAGCTTTCAAATTATCCATGACTTAGCAGGCTGTTGCTGTGGTGGTTACTTGGAACCTCTAAAATACCTGTAACTCTGATCAGTTGCCTAATTAGTTCTCGTGCTAGCATTAATATATAAATGGACATTTCTGAAGCGAGGCCGAGAGCTGCATGCTTGCAATCCCAGTACTTGGGAGGCTGAGGCAGGAAGATCACCATGAGTCCAAGGCTACCCTGGGTTGCATAGCAAGATCTTGACTCAAAAAACAAACAAAAGACATCCCCATAAGTATGTAAGGGTTATGTGTCAATTAAAAATAAATAAAGACAGAAATAAATAAACGGAACTTGTGGTCCCTTGCAAGCCTCTTGCCCCAGGTTCCTTCTATAACAGAATATACCCGTTAGCAGGCAAACACAAAGCAAACCGAAAAAAACAACGCTCTCCTCTGGCATAAATGGGTTTCTGTGGTTTACAATCAAACATTTTCTGGCTCAAAAGACCCTGTGTGGTGGGTACATTTCCGCTCTTCTCTCTCTCTCTTTGCACTGGGGATTGAACCCAGGGTTTTGCACTGAGCTATATCCCAGTCCTTTTTTATTTTTAATTTTGAGACAGAATCTCACTAAGTAACTATGTTGCCCAGGGTGGGCTTGAACTTGCAATCCTCCTGCCCCACCCTTCCCAGTGCTGGGTGACAGGCGTGCGCCACCACGCCTGGCGGCGTGCGCCACCATGCCTGGCTAGGACATTCTCCATCGAGAGCTGAGCCACCAAATGAGTCCAGACACCTTGAAGTCAGCAGGTTGACACAGAGAACAAAATCTAAGAACACACACACACAAAGACACTGTGGCACTCAAGAGGGACACTATTCTAGTGCAATATTTTAAAAGCTACTCTTAATACCAAAAAAATCTGTGATATATCAAAACTAAATGAAAAGACTAAAGCAAAAGGAGAATTTTGCCTCCCATATACATATTTTATATATTTAAATTTTTTTCATCTGTCTTTCATCAAATTAGTATCTGCAGTTACACAAAAAAGTTTATTTTCCAATTTTACCAACTCATGGGCATATTACTGGCTAGCCTGCTTATGACTGTGTAAGTGCTGTAACAGATGTGTAAATCTGTTCAACAGGACAACGAAAAAGCCTCCCGTTTTAAGAAACTGTGCAAATCAATCTCTTACTAAATGTAAAAATGAAATGAAAATGAGCCGGGCGTGGTGGCGCACGCCTGTAATCCCAGCACTCGGGAGGCTGAGGCAGGAGGATCTCTGAGAGTTTGAGACCAGTCTGGGCTACAAAGTGAGCTCAAGGTCAGCCTGAACTGCATAGAGACCCTGTTTCAAAAGGAAAAAAACAAAAAAGAAATGAAAATGAAACCATGAAAAGTTTTTAGCAAATTATGAAAAAGAAAATATCAGATATTTGGAAATATCTACTTAAAGATAGGAATGACTACCATTGTAAATATTTTAAGATATTTAATATACATATCTCTGCTTATTAGTATTTTCATGATGTTATTCCAGATCATTTTTCCATATTTTTAAGCAGTCAATAGTTTTAACAAAACCATTATTGATGATTTTACATCTATTAAAACCAGAAAGTAAAGTTATAATACATTATGGCTTGGGTACAAGAAAAATATTTAAACTAAAATAGAGTTGATTATTTAAAAATTGCTCAGAGAGTAGATTGTGTGCTCACCAAGAAAAGATAAATATTTGCAGTCACATATATGTTAAACATCTTGATTTAGCCACCCCACAATGTATACATCTATCAAAATACGTTGTACACTACAATACCCACAATTTTTGTCAATAAAAAATAAATTTAAAGCCGGGAGTGGTAGTGCACACCTGTAATCCCAGCACTCAGGAGGCTGAGACAGCAGGATCATTGCGAGTTCGAGACCAGCCTGGGCTACAAAGTGAGCTGAAGGCCAGCCTGAACTGCATAGCAAGACAAACAAAACAAAACAAAAAACTAAATTTTAAAAATGTGTTGTTGTACAACTAATTTTCAATTTTTTGGCATTTTTCTACTACTTGAATGTTCTAAAAAAATTAATGAAATGATTATTGTTTCAACCTAACAATTTTAGAGATGGGCTGTTATGCAGTAATAAATAACCAGATCTTACACATTTCCCTTAATCAGCCCCTTAATGCTAGAAGAGAAAAATGTGTCCCATCCACTTCCATTACAAAGCTCTACCCACTTCCTTTGCAAGGCTCCACCCTTTTCTTTGCCGCCTGATAGTTTCCACCTACCTCCTCTGCCAGGCCGCACCCACTTCCTCTGCTAGACCCCACCCACTTCCTCTGCTAGACCCCACCC